GAATTAAAAGAGGGGGGGACCATGAGCAAAAGACAAAAGAAGAAAAGGCCAAACAAAAGGGGGGGACCACGAAAAAAAAACCAAGACACCCCATGGGGTGTCTCGGCAAAACCGAGACACCCCAGGGTGTCTCGGCTTTGCCGAGACACCCCAGGGTGTCCCGGTTTTGTCGGGACACCCCGGGGCGTCTTGAGTCTGTTTTGACCCCCCGAACCTTGTTTGGACCCCTAAATGGTTTTCTGAACCCCAAATCACGCCAATTCTTCGCCAATCGTTGAATATTGATGAACTCCAAAAGTCAACGTTCGACGATTCAAAACCCTAAGGGTCAACGCCGGTCAACGCGTAACCCTAGGTCAACGCCGGTCAACGCGTAACCCTAGGTCAATGCCAGTCAACGCGTTACGACAAAAGTCAACGTTCGAGGATTCAAAATCCACACCAGTCAACGTTGGACGATTCGAAACCCTGAGGGTCAACGCCGGTCAACGCGTTGCGACAAAAGTCAACGTTTGACGATTCAAAACCCTAAGGGTTAACGCCGGTCAACGTGTAACCCTAGGTCAACGCCAGTCAACGCGTTGCGACAAAAGTCAACGTTCGAGGATTCAAAATCCACACCAATCAACGTTCGACGATTCAAAACCCTAAGGGTCAACGCCGGTCAACGCGTAACCCTAGGTCAACGCCAGTCAACGCGTTGCGACAAAAAGTCAACACACCGTAGTCCGAAACCCTAAGCCTGCACAATGTGGCGGAGGTAGTTCAAAGTCAACTCGACGACACGAGCCAAGCTCAATCCATCAGCTGCAAACTCGAGACTCCGACGACGGCCAGACGATAAACGCAGCGCCGGAAGAACCTCGGCTATTCGTCAAAGCATCGAATAGACCGAAAATCAAAGGAGCCAAGAGTTGAAGCTAACCACAGGCCCTTACGCCGACTGAAGGCTAGACCAATCACATCCAAAGTATTCCAGCCTTTTCTATAAAAGAAACGAGTCCGGAACACTTTGGAGGGGGTATCTGTAGGCATCAAAAATTGCCTATAGGTCTCCACGAACGGTTCAGTGTTAGAGAGCGACGATGAACATCACCATCCGATCCACAGGAGTCCGATTGACGTCGATGAACGACTGAAGCGAATCAACGAGCTACATGAGCGGATAGGATTTCAGAACAACAAAGACCCGGACCAATCGGGAACCCGGTACGGTTCACAAAAAGGACAACGCCCTTCGTGTCTCGACCATTCTACAGATAATCCAACCACCAGAGCGGATCGAACTCTTCGTCAAGCATCCAACGCAATTGGAATCACTCAAATCCGAGTTCGGGCGAAGAATCTACAGGGAAGCAATCAAATATACCTACGGACATCTCGGAGTTCCGAAACACCCCCAGGGGTGTCTCAGGAAATCCGAGACACCCCTAGGGGTGTCTCGGATTCCTAGAGACACCCTAGGGTGTCTAGGCACCCTAGGGGCTCCCCCTAGCCTATAAATACCCACCCCTTACCTCATTTGGAAAGATCTGGATTTTTGGAGAGCCTTGGCGAAGCCCTGCTGCAGCAAAGAGTGGTCGTGCGCTTTAACCGAGGAGGAGAGGTCTACATCAGTCTTCATCACCCATTCCCCGTTTGATCCTTAGTATTAGCCTTTAGCGTTAATACTAAGAAGAGCTAATACCTCGCTTTAGCCGAGGTATACGCTTATAGCTTCTAGATCTCACGCGGATCGACGAAGCTCTGTCCGATATTTCTGGATCAGAAGTTTTTAGATCTCACGCGGATCGACGAAGCTCTGTCCGATTTATCCGGATCAGATCTGATTGCCCCGGTGGTCCATGGATATTGACGTCCCCGTCACAGGCCAAAGACCCACGCAAGCAAGACCGCACCAAAACGGGATCTCGTGTTTATTTTTGATAAAGTTGTAATCTTTGTTTTGTTGCACGAGGAGGTCTTATAAAAAGACCGACTTTTTATCGATTCTTGTTGTAACGCTTGAAGTTGTAACAGATTCAAAAGCAATGAAAACAGCAACTTTCCCCGAAAACATTCCTGCGTTTGTGAGGGGCAGAGGATCTGGAGGAGGACGACGACAGATACTTCTCGAATTTTAGTTAGTAGAACTCACACTCGACCTCCTCGTCAACCGGGATTTGAATCCATGGTTGCGGTACGACAGCTTCGGCAGCGAACCTGTTGGCTCCCACTGTGGTAACCAGCGTATTTGGGTCAAAAGTTGATTTCATTACCAATGAACTCATTACAACCGTTTATCGATTACAAGTTCGAAGAAAAGAGAAAAGTAGATCTTTTTATAAGATCGACTTATACAGTGAAAATAAAAAGAATACAACTATTGTCAAACAGCACAACAACAGTTTATCTCCTGTTGTTTGCGTGGGAACTTCGTCTGTGCCGGGGACGCGTTAGCCTGTGGACCATCGCGGATCAGATTCGGTTGACAGATTGATAATCAATGCTCATACTTCACGAAGAAAGTAATCGCAGCAGTAGTAACCTCGACCAAGCGACATTACGACTCTTCTCGAGATTAAGACCAAGCTTAAATCCGGAGGAATAAGGGGTAATGGTCTCAGATCTCTTGAAATCCACTCTTTATGCACAGGAGATCGCGAGATCTAGTTAACCCTCTCTGAAATTCGTGGCTATGCACTCACAAAACTAGCAGCACCTCCCCCTCTTGATTATTTTTTCGCCCTCAGAAATGAGCCCCCAGGCTTGTATTTATAGGCTTCGGTTGGGGGGTTTTCGGATAAGAATGATGGATTCAACTTTATCTTCAGTTAATAACCATGTAATCATGTAACCATGTTTGGGGATGATATCTAGACAGTTAGGAACCTCTAGAACAAAAGAAATCCCGTAAAAACCCGTCAGAAACCTAAAAACGCGTTTTTTGCTTAAATCTGGCCGAACCGAATGCAAAGCAAACCGAACCACCATTTGGTGCCACGGCCTTGACCGAGCCACTGGTTCTTGGCCGAGTCATTTCGATGCGACTCGGCCGCCAGCGGCTATTTCAATCTTTCGGGTTTTGACTTGTTTCGTCGTTATACGTATTTTGTTGTTTTGTTGACTTGTACGCTTCACCGATTTGTTTCACGTATTTCGGACCACTTGGAGGTGGCCAGTGAGCGCATGGGTCACTTGTTTCGCCGTTTTGATGGCCGATGAGCGTACGGGACACTTGGCGGTGGCCGGTGAGCACGTGGGCCATTTGGAGATGGCTATTCCGGTAGCTTGTTGCTACGTCATCAACGGTTTGCCGATTTGCTCATGTGCTTATCGGCGTCGGATAATCTTCCTTGACTCGGACAATGACGTTCATTGTTTTTTCTCTGTCTCGAACTGTGTTCGGGGACCTATAGGCAATTTTTAACGCCTACAGTTAAGATATATATATGGTTAATGAAATCTATAACCAATAGAATATGGTTATGGATATAACTTTATAGTGAAATATCCAGGTCCTTATCCCAAATATCCAAATACATATTAATCATACTGTTACGATAGTTCTAATCCTTAGATTATTGATTTGAGGTTAATTTTGATGACCGAGATGTATAATCTTAGCTTTTCAGATATAATGAATGTATTAATGAACTCTTTTGTATCACATGAACTATATTTTTTCGATAATATCTTGTTTTCTCAAGTCCATTTTGTATACACATACATATCCGCTTATATATCTGTATATTTATATACATATCAATGTCTATATTCGATTTTAGCGGATATAGATATAAATTTTTCTTAACAAGGCATATCTTTATTTGTATTTGTTTCCGTGATGAGTAAGCGGATATGAATATTAGAAGTATCATATCCAAACCTTGTCTGAACCGAATGAACCCTGTTCCGGACCGCTTTACATAATTACATCCCCTAAATGCTTCTCATAGAAAATTCCAAAAATTAAAACAACTGTATTATACAGAAGTGGGTCCCACGGTGGGTCCGTTTTAATTGCCTCCCGTAACGTTTTTGGTGGTCGGTCTGGACTCCGCCTTCACTTTCCATTTTCGGGTACGCCAAAGAACGAGCTCACCTAATTCCGTCTCTGCCCATAACAGCAAACACCGACTATACACACTTAAAAATCAAACGTGTATGGTTTTTTTAATTGAAATCAGACGCATCAGTTTTTGAAGCGAATGTTAAGAAACACGCGTCACTTTAACTGGACACCAGCTATTATTTTGAACGGTTTTTTTTTCTACATTTGTCCCTTACCTCTTCCATATTTTGAAATTAGCCCATCAAGTTATTGAAATTTCTATAAGCTCACACAATTCTTAAGGTATTTTGAAATTAAACTCTCAAATCACTGAAATTGCTAATAGATCCACCAATGCTTAAGTTATTTTGAAGTAAGTCCCTACAAGCAATCCTAGAAATAATAATTTGAAGGGACTAATTTGTAATAAGTTATGAAAATTTGGGAACCTGATAGTTCATAACAATACATTGTGCTTCGTAATTAGGAAACTTGATAGTCAATAACAATATATTTGTACATTATAATCCTTCTAATTGTTATTTCTACTCTTGACTGTATGGACTAAATTAAGAATAACTTAAGCATTAGAGGACCTGATAGTAATTTTAACGATGTCATGGTCTAGTTTAAAAATACCTGACCTAATAGACTTCTTAATGATTTGAGAGGCTTATTTCAAAATATGAAAGATGTAAGGGACTAGTAGCAGGAAAAACCCCTTCTGGGGCAATTCCGTCATTTTACTAAGACGAACAGGTGGCTGTACCCCGAAAACGTTGAAATAAGACTCCTCTTCCCAAAAAAGCCATCACCACACGCGAATCTCTTCTCTCTCCTCCGAGTCATCAAAATCCTAGAGAGAGAAACCGCAGCAGAACGAACAAACTATAAAAGAGAGAGAGAGAGAAAGAAAGGAAGGGGCAAAAAAAAAAAAAAAAAAAAAAAAA